ACTCTTTTCTTTGGCAATCAATGGAAGCAAATGCTATCCCTCGAAGCTCGCACTGACAGAAGCGAGATCTGTTTTCGAAAGTCTAAGTGGGAGCACACACTCTACTTCAGCAAGAATGATCTTCGAAGCTTGCATTGATGGAAGCAATGGCTGCTCTTCGGAGGTTGGAGTGGGAGTACACTTCTATTGCATCAAGAAAGGTCCCTTCAAGTTGGTAACCGAGTTTACTATTCATCTTTCTTCTTTGAAGGGCAACAAAAATTGAAAACTGTCTCAAACAACATAACACAATGAAGATACACAATATAGAGAAAATAAATTTCTAATGGAGATATACAATATGGAGGAAATAAATTTCTTTATAACATTAGAAAGATAGAACTTCTTGGATAATGCAGTAAATATAAATTGTAAATGTCATAGATAGACTTCTTCTACGGAATGTTGACATTTGCCCCTAGAGTTGCAAGGTCATTTGAAAAAACTTTCACCAGTTGCTCGGGTTGTGGTCGTCATATGCCATCATAGCCACGTCTTCTAAGATATCCTGAGGCCCCTGTTCTTTGAACTCTAGCTCATCTACTTCGACTTTCTTTCTGAAGATCTTTTTAAGCGTCCGACACTTTTCTGTAGGATGTCCCAGTGATTGGTGGAAAACACAATAATTAGGGCCCTTGTGGTTCTTCTTTGGCAAAAGCTCTTCAACACGAGGTAACTTCAGTTCCCCGTCTGCCACCTATTTTTTAACTAAGGTCTTCACTTCCTCAACACTACACGGAAAAGGAGTATCATCTTCGCAGTTTTTCCTCTTCTGACCTCTAAATTCCTCCCCTTGCGACTTTTAGGTAGAAGACGCGAAACCTGTAGTGACAGAAGGTCCTCAGGATGACTTGAAGCTGGTTTTATAACTAGTCTCGAACCCAATCTCCTGAGACTGAGGTATGTTAATATTTCGAGATGCTTCAATTAGTGCCGAAAATGTAGGTAGCTTGTGATTAACAAGAAGCATCTTGTACCCGTTCAATGCCCCTTCAACACAAATTTGGACCAAGTAGCTTTCCTCTATAGTCTTGTGACAGTCTACGGCTTTGTCTTGGAACCTCTTCACATATTTGAGAATGTCTTCACCCTCTTGCTGCTTTTCCTTACATAGGGTGAGTGCGGTTACCTTCTCAGCCGCTTCAAAGAATTTGGCGTGAAATTTGTTGACCATCTCCTCCCAACTTCGAACAAAGTTTGGGGTCAAGTTAACGAACCAACTATATGCTCAATCGGTGAGGGACTTGGAGAATTCTCTCAGTTAGAGGACATGATTTGTACCATGAATCCCCAAAGTCTCAATGAACTAAACAACATGTTCTCGAACATTTCCTTGCTTGCCATTGAATTTGATGAACTTCGGCACTGTGTACCCCTTCGGGTATGGATAACTAAACATCTCGATAGGGTATGGTGGCTTGACATCCGGATTAGGCAAAGAGGGTAAAGTCCTCTTGCCCCGTTCGAGATCGAACATGGCTTGCACATCGGCGAGAGTGAGAAATTGTTGAGAGAGAGAACTTGATGGTGGTATTCATGGAACCTGACTTGTAGACCCGAAGACTGAGCTTGGGGCAACTTGGCCATTTGGGTATTGAGAATTCACCATCGGTGAAGACACATGATGATATTGGCCATCGGCACCTATGGACACGCCATTTGGTGATGGGACGTTGCATTGGGTCCCACAAAGTCCATTGTACGCCACGGCTATATCGAGTTGGGCTTGCAAACTCGGCATCGGAGCCAAATGAGACCCGCTGGGTACATGAGTAGAATTTACAATCGGTGGAACAAAATTAGGCATGGATGGAGCACCATTTTATAGAGAAATTTCTGTAGGCTTTCTTTGAACTTCCACAACCGCTGGAACACCATTCGTCGTGCCGAAAACTCCTCTAACCACCGCTTGACCATGGCTCAATCCTCCAGGTACGTGATTTTGCGCTCCATGAGCCACAAGTTGGCCATGACTTGTTCCTCCTAGCACTTGATTTTGCATACCATTTTGTACAACTTCAAGGAGAATTTGGAGTGGATCTTGATTGTTTTGACCATTCCCAACATTACCATGAAGTTGTTGATGCTTGTCGGTGCCAACTTGACCTCCATTTGTTGCTGGTGGTAGGGGTGTTCACGGATCGATTTTGTGCGGTTTGCGGTTCGGTTTTGACTCGCCCGCATCTATGCAGTTTGGAAAAAGTCAACCCGCAACCGCAGTGCAGTTTGCAGTTTGCAGTTTGTGCGGATAGGGTTTGTAGATGTGAGGACAGTTTGCGGTTTACACTTTTTTCTTTAAAAATTAATTTTTAATTTTTTTTTCCCATCGAATTTAGGCATTAGATTCATTTTATATATTTGTGATCATTTGACAATAATTTTTTGATGAGTTTACAAATAAAAATTGAATATCAATGCATTAAATGAAAGTACCCAAGACAAAGAGACTTTACACTAGCATTTTTGCCATGAAAAAAATGTATATCAATGCATTAAAGGTTGTACTCAGTTAAAATTGCCAGTTCAATAATCAACAATCAAACTAGAAGCATCATCAACCACCAGAAGAAAAATTTTATTAGGAACAAGTGGATGAGTCATCAATGAGAATCATATAAGAAACTAAGTTTAGGACTTGATAATTTTACGACATTAAGAAAGCTGAGAAATACTTAAAAATAAGGATTCTAGTGTCATAAAGAACATAATGGTGCTCTTGTTAAAGTTACAAAGTTGGTATATAAAAAATAATAATAATAATAATTAAAGTTCGGGCGATTTTTGCGGGTTGCGGGTTTAACTGACAACCCGCCCACAACCTGCAAATTTGTCATATTTCAAACCGCATCCGTCCGCATTATGTTTGCGAAACCGCCCATTTATATACGGGTTGGGCGGTTTGAGCGGTTCGGATAAACCGTTGTCCACCCTTACCCATCCTTACCCATCACCACTCTCTAAGTCTGGCCACCCCTTACATATCGCTACCCTTCGAGACTACAGTCCAACCAACCCCTTGCTACTCGAAGACCCTTCCCAACTGTTAAAGCAATTGTTAAAGAGAGAGAGAAAGTAACTGTGAGAGAGAGAGAGAGAGAGAGAGAGAAAGAAAGAGAGATTTGAAGTATTGGGTTAGTAAGGGGTAGGGGTAGGGTCGCGAGGGGATATGTGGGGGTAGTGGGTCATGGGGTAGATGATGCTCAAGTTTATTCACTCCTGTTTTGACAGTCCTAAATGGGAAATTTTATTTCCACACATTACTTCCTCTCTTTCCACATCTTTTCTCAATACACACATTAAATAAATTGAAATTATTAACTTTCACTCAATACACATCCTACCATATCAAAAATATCTTTATCATTTTCATCCTCCAAACCCTAACATTAATAAGCTACCACCGCTTTTATTTTTTCAAGGTAACTAGTATTGAGTTTTATCATCTACGGATGACATAAATATTTTTTTTTGTTACATCTATGTAAATTGACAATGCCTCTTACAATTGAAAGAAATAAAAATCTACATAACCATTCAAGATTCCATTTCAAGGAAATAAATTTTGAAAAATTGCTCACATCAAGGCAGTGTGTACTTTAGTCAACTCGCCACCATCACCAAGGGAGAAACAAACATAATGGTGAGAGCACCCATGATGAGCAAAGAATTCGTAATGGGATTTAGCATTGGCACCCCACCATAGCAAATATTTGCAGTTTCTGATACAGGCAGTTGTCTAATATGGATGCAATGTTCACTTTGTGATATGTGCTGCAATCAGAATCGATTCGCAGCAATTTATAACCGAGAAAAATCATCAATGGTGATAGTGGAAATTGATGGTTTAAGAGAGTTAGATTTAGGGTTTTGAGAAAGGGATATTTTGATAATTTAATTTTAGGATAAAAATGTAATTAAAAAAAAATCATTAAGTATGTGGAAAGAGAGGAAGTAGTGTGTGGAAATAGAATTTCCCGTCCTAAATGCAATCAAGTTATAAAAAGATACAAATTTATCTAATTTAATTCAACATATAATTCTTATTGAACTAAATAGTTTATATAGAATTGAAGAGTTAGAGTTAGGGTTTTGAGAAAGGGATATTTTGATAATTTAATTTTAGGATAAAAATGTAATTAAAAAAAAAATCATTAAGTGTGTGGAAAGAGAGGAAGTAGTGTGTGGAAATAGAATTTCCCGTCCTAAATGCAATAAAGTTATAAAAAGATACAAATTTATCTAATTTAATTCAACATATAGTTCTTATTGAACTAAATAGTTTATATAGAATTGAATGGCAAAATATATATATATATCATTTAATTAACCCCACTTGCTTCTTAATGCTTGCCCTTTTTTTTTTCTTTTTTTTTTCTTTTTTTTGTGGATCCGTAGAGAGAGCAAGCAGAGCTTCTCTCTTTATAGATCTATAGATTTTCGATGATGTATCGGCGAAGTTGTGGCAACACTTTGGTGACTTCATTTACACTTTTAAAATTTAAATTTACACTTTTGGAGTATAGATATACATTTCTAAATTGAAGATCTGAACTTTTTATGTTTAAAATAGAGGTTTTGAGTTTTTCTCCCCTGATTTTGATATAAATTTTTAAATTTTCGACACCCATAATGATTTCATTTTCTCTCTCTCTCATACTATTGTGAATATTCTTCCTCTTCAACTCTAACTTCTAGTGGTGTCCAAAGTTTGGCAACGACAGTTGCAAAGTTGGACAACAATGACAGGAACCACATCAACGGCGACGGCAGGTGTTGATGCAATTCTTGGCCCTTTAAGGTCTTTATTGTAATCTTGTATGTTATTTATTTTATTTTAATATAAATACTTTTTCTATTCCTCAAAAAAAAAAAACTCACTTACTTAAAACACAAGGCTTAATTTAGTTTGATTTGTAAATACAATCAAGTTATGCTAAATTCCTCATGTCTGAGGCATGGACTAGAATAGGAAACGGTAAATTATATCATTAATTCATGTAATTTAAGCGAAGTATCACTTTAATCAACACCAATTGATACTGTCTCAACCTCAGTTTCAAATCCACTACAGATAACATGGATACAGTTGAATACAACAAAAAACAGTTATCCCAAAAAAATTTTACATATATATTTGATACACAGTTGATATGATCAATGGATTTGTTGGTCAGTCCTGGGGAGGAGCCACAGGCAAATCGCAGTACGATATAAACGGACTCCCAAATACCTTTCCATAAATCTTTTAACTTAGTTGAATCTTTCTCCAAGTTCAAACTGCTACAGAATCAGTGTTGCTTCCCCCTCCTGTGGAATTTTGCTTCCTTTCTGCTTGAAGTGACCGGCACAGTGATTCAAGCTTTTCCTTCTGATTCTTTGTTTTCTCCAGTTGTTTCTTCAAGTGCTCGCGCTGCTCAGTCAAAAGAAGATTTCTAAGTGCTGATTTTCTTTCTTTGTAAGTTAGTGCAAATTAATTGAAGATTATTTACATGGGAAAATTAAAAGGCATGTCCACCGACAACTCTAGTGGTTCAATCAACGAGTAACGATATTCTGGATTAGATTCCCTCACAATACCACGAGGCCCTGACGTGGCTCCTATCCCAACAGCATGATTAGCAGCACTTGGGTGGAGTTTGGTAATTACCCTTTTAGAATCTAATCTAACAAAAACTGGTGTCTGGTAATTCCTAAATTTTTTTTTTTTTTTTTTTTAGTTTTTTTTTTTTGTTAGTAAGTGCACTTTTTTTTTTTAGCCTTTATAGCTCAAGACAAACAAGCTTTTGTTTTTGGCTTACTTCCCGAAAAGAAGCTTTTTTAGCCCATGCCAAATGGATCCCTAATTTAATGCCCTATGTATACCTGGTAAAGCCAGCTCATACTGCTTTAGAACTTGGCTTTACTCACCACCAGCATAACCCAAGATAAATGTGATGCAAAAAATTAAAATGGAAACCATACCTCCTCAACAAGTTCTATGAGAGTAATGTCTGATTTCTCAGATTTGCTCTTCAAGAAGGCATTCTCCTTTTTGAGTTGCTTTATTGACTTTGCCATCTACATTTACATACATTACAACCAGAACGGTAAATTACTTTGATTAATTCATCACGTCTCTAATTTCTAAACATGTTGCAATAAAAACATACATCAATTAAGAATATGAATACGAAGTCAAAAGAAACGGAAACCTCAGGGGGTGTGATGTACCTTCTCAATCTCTTGCTTGAATGTTTCAAAGACTTCGTTACTTTTCACCAGAGCATCCTGCAAAGACATGATTAGCATATGAAATGTAGCATAAGTAACAGGATAGGTCGGCCCCTCTACAGATCAGATGACAAAACAGAACTAGCCATGATGTGTCGTGTTCGTGGAACAAGGCATTTGTTCGAAGGAAAGTCTTTTCTTTTCTCTTATTTATTCTGTCTAATCTTCATATGCATCATCTATTAATACAATTCAAAATGCAAGAAAATAAATTTCAGGGTCTAGCATTCTTCTTTATTTTACAATATAAGACATCATAATCCCCTTGACCCCAGGTACGGAATGGGTGAGTGGGCAGGGAGCTCGCACAAGAAACAACTTAACTAAATTTAAAACAAAAAATCGCGGTTCTTGGAATTACAATGATAAGAGTATTATTTCAATATCGTTAACGCTGTATTTGGTTGGGGAATTTGGGAAGGGATTTGGAAAGGGCAAGGGAAAGGGAAAGGGAAAAGGTAAATAAAATGTGAATAAAATATACTTACATTTCACTAGTTTCACACACCTTTTCTCTTTTCCTTTCCAAATTCCTTCCCAAATCCTCCAACCAAACATAGCGTTAAGGAAAAAGATTAAGAACCCTAAAAGGTCTCGCCTAATTTACTCACAATGACATGGCAGATACGTGTCAACTTTTGATTTGTTACAAACTCAACCATATAAGGCCCAACTCCCTTGCCATGTCGTTGCAGGTGAATTGTGGATTCAAAATTGGAATCCGGATCCTATAGCATTCATCATTTTTAAAATGCTTATGACAGACAAGCTTCCTAAGATAAAACACAAACACCATTGATGTCCTGGACTTTGGTGATCACATTTTATACAAACAAACTAATCAGGTTAACAGCTTTCTGGAAATAATCCTTTCTATGTTCAATTATTTTGATTTAGATGAAACATTCTACAAAAAAGGTGCTATGAGTCAATATATTTATGGGATATTGGGATGAAGTTAACCTGAAATTGTTGGAATTTTTCTCCATCAGCTGTTAACTGCAAGCGCAAATTCTTTTCATTTGCCAATAATTCTGACACTTGTTCTGCATAAAACTTCAGCTGGGACTGTTCCTGGAGCAATTTCTCCTCATGTTGCTGAGTTTTCAAATCAGCAATCTGGAGTTCCAGTGTTTTCTGCTTCAGCTGCACATACAAGTTCCTAAATGAAAATAAATTCAAAATCTAACAAAAAAATGCATGCTAAGAAAGCCCAGAAACCTACAATAGACATTATAAATGGATGAAGAATGTATTACCTTCTGTGCATATTGCTGTTCGGAAAGAGCATACTGATCAGCTAGCTGCTTCAACTTGATTCTTAACCTGAATTTGAAGAATGTGTACATTAGCTTGGAAACTTAAAGACTCTACCTATAAGATTATTATCAAAACCACAATGAAAGACCAATAAGCAGAAAAGGAATCGCAACTAGTGATCTCATAAAATTAAATTGAAAGAGAGGGAGAGGGGGAGGGAGGAGGGAGAAAGAGTCATGCTTGACAAATCAAGCATTAAGCCTGGACCTGATTTAGCCTAGAAGGATAGATAAGGTATAAACATCATTCTGTCTTGATACAGTTACATGGGGAAAAGGGGAAATTGCATAAGCTTCATCTATGTTTGGTTAAATGTAAGCAAATTGAGTTAGAAAATGGCATTCTTCAAAGGTTCACCCCACCCACTCTCAGTGCTCACTTCTCTAAGAGAATTTCTTCCGTTTGAGAACCTTTGAAGAATAGCATCAAATAGCATCTCGGCAAGGCACCAACTCATTTATGCTTTTCAGTGCTCTCTGAAACAACAGCCAGCCACCCACAAGTCCTCAGTAGTGAGACAACTCCAACTTCCAACGGATCAAATAAAAATAATAAAAAAGTGGCAGACTTGAAAAGCTTACAGTAGATGGATATCAATAGGCGTGTTAAGCAAGAGGATCAAACAGATGAAACAAACATATGAAATTTCAAGACTCAAAAGCGCTCTGATGGCTATTCATAAAACTGTTTCAAGGAGCTTAGCGAGAAAGTTGGAAATGCAGAAGGGGGTAGTTTAGATCAGATGATCATGCAAAAGCCATAAAGGTAGAATGTGTACATTAGTTTGGAAACTTAAGGACTACCTATAAGATTATTATCAAAACCACAATGAAAGACCAGTAAGCAGAAAAGGAATCGCAACTAGTGATCTCATAAAATTAAATTGAAAGAGAGGGAGAGGGGGAGGGAGGAGGGAGAAAGAGTCATGCTTGACAAATCAAGCATTAAGCCTGGACCTGATTTAGCCTAGAAGGATAGATAAGGTATAAACATCATTCTGTCTTGATACAGTTACATGGGGAAAAGGGGAAATTGCATAAGCTTCATCTATGTTTGGTTAAATGTAAGCAAATTGAGTTAGAAAATGGCATTCTTCAAAGGTTCACCCCACCCACTCTCAGTGCTCACTTCTCTAAGAGAATTTCTTCCGTTTGAGAACCTTTGAAGAATAGCATCAAATAGCATCTCGGCAAGGCACCAACTCATTTATGCTTTTCAGTGCTCTCTGAAACAACAGCCAGCCACCCACAAGTCCTCAGTAGTGAGACAACTCCAACTTCCAACGGATCAAATAAAAGTAATAAAAAAGTAGCAGACTTGAAAAGCTTACAGTAGATGGATATCAATAGGCATGTTAAGCAAGAGGATCAAACGGATGAAATAAACATATGAAATTTCAAGACTCAAAAGCGCTCTGATGGCTATTCATAAAACTGTTTCAAGGAGCTTAGCAAGAAAGTTGGAAATGCAGAAGGGGGTAGTTTAGATCAGATGATCATGCAAAAGCCATAAAGGTAGCTGCAGATGGAAGAAAGGCAATTAAAGAGAGCATGTGGGCCAGAGTGGACTACTATATACAAATGTGAAGGAACGTCCACTCCATTAATATAAATGTGCTACAAAATGAGGGCTGATGATGCTACCCTCTCCCAAATGCCTCTCTCTCTGTCTCTCTCTCTCTCTCAAACCCCCATACCAGGCACACAAATCCAAGCCCACAAATTTGAACAATGACAAACCATATCAACCTCTAGCCCCAAAAATCTAAAACATTAAACCAAATATGAATCTAAGTCCCCCCCATATTGAAGCCCCAGAGTTGTTTCTTTTTCATCTTTCTTTGTTTTTTAACCTATTACAAATTTAATCTTCTAGTTAGTTAAGATTGTACTGGAAATTTAGCTTTATTTACCTTGATATTTAACCAGCCAAACCAACCACAAGGATAAAATCAGTAGGCACTAAGCAATCTCTCTTTCCACAAAACTCCACTTTGTTGCAACTGAAGAATCAATATTTTTATATTTGTCATTCTAAATAAATTCTGCATTAGATACAGTCACATTGTATACACCAAATGGGGATTTATCAAATTAGGAATGCAAGCAAAAGCAATGCATCCAACTCAAGATGTTTAGGACAACAAAATAAAACTCTTTGCTCAGCCAACTAAATGAAGAAATAAAAAATGTTGGCAAACAATCTCAAATGCCATGAAGTTTTATGTATTATTCAACTCCACGTCCCATCCATGTTATACTCAATGGATCACTATTAACTTAAAACATATTGGTGATATCATGTAAGAAAGGAATAATAAATTAATTCCTCAATCCTCGTTGGTTCCCATAATCTTACATCTCATTCTCCTTCAGCTGAGACAGGGATTCATCCTTTTGCTCTTCCAGCTTATGGCTTACTTCCTGCAACAAAGAGAAATTATCAAGATTGAAAAGTTAATATAACACATTCGACATACATGCACAACAGAAAAAATGCATAATCCATGAAATAAAAACTACAGAGAGACATTGCCAGATGATGAATCACAAGGAAAGAGTGGAAACTCATGTAGGGCCTATCATGTTCTTGCATGGTTTATTTTCTTCTCTTCTTCAAAGGATGTCTTAACTTTCAGGTCATCCATATTCATGCATAAACCATAAATAACATCATATGAGTTATGACTAGTAATCAATTGAGCAAAGCATAGCAGATTGCTTTGCCCATGCTGCTTATTGGATAGCTTGCTTGAACATAATGTGGAGAATGGTAATGGTAGATTGAACATAATGAAGAGCCAAAAAAAAAAAAAAACGAAAGAAAATGGACAAAACAAGCCTATCCTTCAGACCAGCAACACTCAAAAGGGAAAAAGAGAAAGAGACGGACATGAAGTGAGGAAGATAGAATGTGCGAGGGCAGGCAACCTCATGTCCTTAAATTCTGCGGAACAAAAGACATCTACCATGCGATTGCGTAAAATATGCAGATTCTCAAACAAAAAGAAGTCGCAGACACCTTAATTGCATCTTGGAACTTGTTTGATAGATCTAATCTCAAGTTTTGCCCCTCCGTTGATACTCGTTTGCATTCATCCTGCCAAACAATGAGCAAGACATCAATGTCTCCATAAAAGAAAATTGCAATAGATAACTGAAAACAAATAGATTACAGATTGCAACTATTATTTTCAAAAGCAAATTATAAGAGACATTACATTAAGTTTGTACTCTACCATCCATCACCATTCAATAATCACAAATTCTCTATGGTACCAACATTTGAACATGCTAAACAGGGTAGATTGTAATGCGAATCAAATTGCAGATGAATTAGTAATTTCATTCCACCTGTTCAATAAAATTCCAAATAACTGAATCAAAACTATCAACCCTAAGGACATGGCAAAGACTGACTCAATCCAGACAATTTTAACAAACTTTTATAAGAAGTATCCAAATAAACCAAAAAATGGCCAATAATTATTTCATTAAACAGAATATGAATGCACACCAAAGCCCAAAACAGTGTCATTAACATTGTTTTTGGATTTTGTGACTTGCAGATAATTTGAAAAAAAAAAAGAGAGAGAGAGAGTCCCCTCCTAATCACCTGTTTCTGTTTGGAATTAGCTTAAGAGAGCAGAGTAGAAAAATTCAGAGACCAAAACCCCTTGTAACTCACTTTTTTAATCTCTACAGAAGTGGATGCATTTGCAGAGAAAAGGAAAGTCGCCCATTTCCCGCCTAATTTAAAATACAAGCGATTCCCATTTTTGTCCCTTTTACTTATAATAAAACCTTCTTTTCTTTTCTTGTCTCTTCCATCACTCCCAAACCAGATGGAAGGATACACTATCTTTTCTTTTCTCTTCTTCAGTAATCCAAACACTACCAGTCATACACTTTTTTATTTTTTTGAAAAGTTTATTCAGAGAAAAGGCATCAAAGGGGATGTCATCGCACACAAGCACAAAATCAAAAGCCAAAGAAACTATACGCCTTGATGGTCCCATAAATCTACAAAATCCAAAAAATTGCTCCAAGCGATACACCGTCCCTGACACCCAACTATACAAAATAGTCCCAAATGTACCCTCACACCAGGAACTATCCATTGCACCCCAAAAACAGCTAAAATTAACTCCCAAAGATCATTGGCAATGAATGAGAAGATGATCAATAAACTTGTCATCTTGCTTACACATACAACACCAATTTACACAAAAATGTTACCATCATTTAATTAAATTATCAAAACTAAGAATTTTCACATGAGCCAGCGACCAAACAAAAAAACACACTAACAAAGCTTGATTAAGAATTTTCAACTTTTGAATGCCCAAACCCCACTCCCTCGAGTGGTACAACTTGTATCCCAATTCACTAGATGATCACTTGGAACTCTTCCCCCATTCCTCCTCATAAAAAAATCTTTTTGCACTTCTGACGCCATTTTTTGCTACTAGCAAGGATAGAAAACAAAGACATAAGGTAAGTGAGCAAACTTGATGGGGTACTTTTCATTAGGGTTATAGCCCCACTTAAGAATTTAGATAAAGTATTGCATTTTCCATCCTTCCAATCTTTTATGAATTTGTATCCCAATTCACTAGATGATTACTTGGAACTCTTCCACCATTCCTCCCCATTGAAAATCTCTCTACACTTCTGATGCTATTTTGCCACACTAGCAAGGATAGAGAACAAAGACACAATGTAAGTGAGCAAACTTGAGAGGGTACTTTTTATCAGGGTGAGCCGCACCCCTTCAGAATTTAGATCAAGTACTGTGGCCTTGTTTGGTTTGTATTTCCCAAAATTTTTTGGAAAAAATTCTCTACAAATAAGTTTTCAAAAGTAATCAAACCAAACAAATTTTCCCAAAAAAATTTCCCAAAACTTGTTTGGTTAACAAGTTTTCCAAACAAATCTCTCTCTCATACACATCAAATCAATCACTTTTTCCAAAACTCTCTCTCAAAATAATTTTCCAAAACATCTTTTAAAAAAAACCAAACCAAACAACTTTTAGTACTTTTTATCTCTAAAACTCATCTTCCAAACTCAAACCAAACATACCCTGTATTTTCCATCCTTCCAATCTTTTATGAAATATTTTCACTACTCAATCATATACCGTCTTAGCCTTAAAAGGTAAATCTAATGGAAAACCCAAATGATTTGAAGGAAGAACCCTACTATGCATCCAAGTATAGAAGCCAGACTACACATATTAGGACGTTTTCCGAAATGGAATAATTTCGGATTTTCCCAAATTCACCTTTAACCACAAAAATGCCTTAAAGCAAAAAAGAAATAAAAAACAACCCAACTGCTCCATCCCTGGTCCATAAAAAGTAAATAGTATCATCAATATACAAAAGATGGAAAACATCTGAAAAGAATCCTAGACTGATTGATCGATCAATCATCCTACTCAATGCCTCCCCCATCTTCCATTTTTGTAGTCTTCTCATACTCTTCTTTCTTGCTGTCTCTTCTCTCCTTTTCTTCATCCAAGAAGCCCCAAGGACTTCTCCAAAACATTCAACCTCCCAATTATTTCCATTCCACTTTTTCAAATCCCGTTTGACTTCAATTATTTTGCAAGCACCATCCTAGGTCTCCTATCAACCTGATAATTACACCAATAAGCCTCCACCATTCCTCGGAAACCCTCCACTCAAAGCCACATTTTCAAATTTGCGTGGGCTCCTTCTTGCCCTAATACCACCATAGTCAAGTAAAATAGGAGTGTGATCCAATATTGGCCTTGGCAATATAATTTGGGCCACGTCCAAAAAATAGTTATACCAACTAGTAGAAATAAGAAACCAATCAAGTGAAGACATAGAAGACCTTTCTTGATTTTTAGACCAACTGAACTGTCCTCCAACTCCATCTAACAGAAGGTCCAACAAATCCACCTCAACAATAAAAGTTGAATAATACCTCATAGACCTATTCAAGACATCACAACCAAGTTGTTCACAAGGAAAATGGACAAAATTGACATCTCCACCAGTGCACCATGGAACATCACATAAACAATCGATAGCAGCAAGTTCCTCCTGCAACCCCTTGCCATCTCTATCCTGCACAGGCCCAAAAACCTGTAAAACACCCATTTGAACACATCCATCATAACTCTAAAAAGACGAGAAATTGAAAAGGACCCATTTCACACTCGTCTTTAGTCAGAACCTTTTTATCCCACATGGCTCTAAAAAGCCCATCCATTTCACTTTATCCAGCCTTCAGAGAGTGCACATGACAAACTGGCATCACTTAAATTTTTTTTCAAATGCCAAAGAAAATATCTGGGCAGCATATATCAACTTGATGCTTTTATCACATTATCTGCGGTTAGTAATAAGATATATCAATCATAGTGGGCAAGTATCAATCACCATGCTGCTTTTGGCTAAAACCCCTTATCAAACCAAGACGATCTTTAGTGTACAATGGGAAGTTATTGCAAAAAGATAAACCCCCAAGGCCTGAACAGCATAATCGCTTCCATATAAAACTGCATCTGTGTTGGGCATGTCTCAAATGTTGACACTTCTTGGACACTCCTAGACATGTGCCCGAAACAATTAATAAGAAATAAGGAGTATTATCCGATGGTTCTAAAAGTGGGTAACAAATCCCCGTACTTGACCTTTTTCAGAAAGTGATGGTAGATGCAATTTTGTGATTATACAGATCCCCATCACAATTCAAGCATTCAACGGCATTTTATGACAAAAATATAGATGTATACTAATCAATAATAAACAAAAAGCATAGGTAAGAATATATGTGTCCTAATGTCCATGCCCAAGCAGTGCTATTGAATTATAAATCAGAATCTGTCAGGAAGTCATTTATCACCCAAATGAAAATATTCTTCCAGGGTGTTAATGAGTTCTCATTGCAACCAAAGAAGGGATATACACTAATCGTGTTTTCTTCCTCAAGTTGAATACAAGCATATTCACTGGTAGGCCATTATAACACTGAATCTTATTTCATTACACTCTGGAATCTTAAGGTACATTAACATAAATCTGGCATATTTTGGCAACGCCACATTTTAGTTAAAAAATCAACTCTTCTCTCTGCTTTCTTGTACGTCTTTTCATAAAAATCCAAAAAGCCACAAAAAAAACCAATTCCCAAAACAACCCTCAGTCCCTCTAAAATATACATTGACCCATTAGGTACGTCCATAGATCTCAGGTTCCAGCATCAAACAACTAATAAATTCAATAAACTTTTTTACCATACAAATTTTGAACACCTTGCGATTGTATAAATGAAACAAGCAATCTGGAAGGTCTGAAGGAAAAAATCAACCAATTTCAAAGACAGAAATCAAGGTATACTTTTCTAACAGTTGTGATCGCTATTATCCATACATCAGTATCACAACTCCAAAAGATTTGCATAAAACAAATTTTTTTTTATAGTGGCCACAACTCCACAAGCATTATTTATTTTTATTTTGATCAATCTGCAGCACATGAATAAATAAAGAACATTACTACATGATCAATTGAAGCAGATGTGGCTGATAGAAAAAGTATACCATTAGCATTTTGTTCTGACGTTGCAACTCCCGACATAATGACTCAAGTTTATCCCGAACAGCAATGGCTACAAAAAATGAAAAAGTGAAAGAAAGTACAAGACCATTATTTAAAAAGGATGAATCTAGCTTCTAGGCAACAAGATAAAATACAGGGATATTTAATTCTAAAGAGAAAAACCATCACGTAAACAGATAGTGTGGATAACATGTTTCATCTATAGCAACTTAGTGGCAAGGTTTTGAAAAGCGGTTATGGTCACCGTAATGGTTGCGGTGACGTGGTAGCGGTTGCAGGATGTAAAAGTCGTAGCGTAACGGTTGCGGTAACTGGAACCATGATTTTTTTTTTTTTTTTTTTTTTGCACAATTTGAAGAAAGCTTACCAGAATCACATTCATTGGGGTTTAAAATATATTTTAATCAATTTTTGTTAATTTTTAAATATGATCCAATATATTTCATATTTTCAAATCACTATAAAAGTAGTTTTTTACATTTTATTTCAATAATTAATGATTTTAAGAATAATTGATTTTAAATGTCTACAAATTATTTTTTACCAATACTTGAACTAACTGAATAAACCATATTCATAATTAATTAAATGAAAGGATTATAAAATTAAAATTGTGCCATAAATTTAACGAAAAATTATAAAGAAAAAAAATTCACATAAGATTTTTTCTTTGAGCTTGGATCACTTGAGTATTTGTTCTTTTTTTATAAGTTTTTTTTTGGGGGGAGGGGAAAAGGAAGCTATTCAGAATATTGTAAACGTGTGTAACGGTGTCTAACGGGCCATTACGTAACACCGAAACGGCCGTTACACATGTGAATTTCTGTCACACCACTATAGCAGCTGTAACGGAACCGTTACGTAACGGCATTATGTAACAATTGCAGCCGCTTTTTAAAACCTTGCTTAGTCATCAATTTTCCAAGGGAAAATGGTGTAAATGTCCTGAGGCAGTGATTGGTCAACAAAATGATCTAATTGTTGTTTCAAGGAGTCTTTATTCAGAAAAATAAACAGTTTTAGTAACAAATATTGGGTTAAAAATGCAGTATTTTGTAAGTGGCCTCTAACGAAATCAATTCTTTAAGTTATCTAGAACAAACAAGTCAACATTTTACACAGATCTGTTCAACAGAAATCATCAATCAAAATGAATGACAAACACTAGTTAACAAAAGAAGTTTTTCCTCAATAAAGTTGCTTGTGCCATTCTTACCACTGTCAAATGCAGCTTGACAACACCGTCCAGATAGGCATAAAAGACAGAGAGTGTAGAACAAATAGCTTCTTGATTATTATAAAACTCAGAACTATTGGCATGTAACATTAGAAGCAACAAAAATACGCATCCATTACCACATAAAAACAATAAGAAGATACCCAAAAAAATGTCCAGAGTGATTTAAGCGCAAGCATCATTCATCGAAGAAGAGGATAGTAGCCTTCAAAACTCTTGATAAAATAAACTACCTGCATCTCTTTCTGAAAGAACTTGTTGATATTTCAATGTGAACTCTAGAAACTCCTTTTCAGATTTAAAGGTCCGCTTTGTGTTCTTACGTTTTACTTCAGAAGTTTCCTGAGATAGAAAATTGTCTAACCATAAATTTAAATATATATATGATATGGTTTGCAAACAATCTCTTAATTGTTGGATCAGGGGCTGCGGATAATGACATATGAAATATATCACAAAATAGATACAAACTTTCTAAGTTAAAGTTCAATAGAGTAAACAGATTCATTTCGGCCCGTCACTTCGGGCACTGCAGGAAAAGAGAGAAAAACAGGGAGGGCGTGTTTGCAACATAACAGATAATAAAGAGGAGACTTGAAAAAACCATAGAATTTCAACTATATCAACAAAGAAAAGTCACAGATAAATAATGTGGACCATTGCCCATTGCAATTCGCAGCACAAAAAACAAAACAAATGAAATCCTGATTTTTCATAACACCAAACTATGTGAAACAGTTTTATGAAGCATGCTTGACAAAAACAACTATAGTCAGATTTGATGTATAGCATACCAGTGGAAACTTTCTTCTGTAAGAAAAGAATCCCACAAGAATGATAGATGTTGTGCAACTGCAAGACCCAAATGCTATTTTCAGCTGAGAGGTTTTAAGATAATCCTGCTGATTTCGTAAAAATACAAATATGTTGGGAGTCTTGTGACCTTACATTTTTCTGGATTCAGATGAAAACTTGCGTTTGTCTATGCAACTGACAGTATCCGATAGGGAGACACTATATGATTAGTTACAGTAACAAGCAGGTATAACATCTTTCTCAACAGCCTAACTAAATTATTGATTACTGTGATAAAAATTAGTATAAGATTTTCAAAAAACATCTAAATTTGGGCAGTAATGCGAAAGTAATTACAATAATTCCAAGACTTTGCACAATGTGCCGGTAGACAATCTATATAGCTGAAAAATTAATTTCATCTATTAACATAACCAGAATTACACTTACTCCAAATTTAAATTGAATGTTCTCCATCAAAGTGCATATGCAAGAAAAAAAAAATAAGGATAAAGCAGGGTGACGATGAAAATGGTAACTGATGGCAAATGAATCCAAAAGCTACTCTGAAATAGAAGCCTTACGATGTTATTAACTAATTTTCTGTTGTTTCCAGCACTTTCAGTTTTACATATCTCATTCATGTGGGCTGCTTGTGTGTCTGAGCCTCCTTCAATTGCTGCACAAAAAAAAAAAAAAAAAAAAAAAGAGAGAGAGAGAGAGCAGTAAGAAAGTCAAGTTAAAAAACCATTTTATGGGCTATCAACCAATGCCACCAGATATTAAGAACCCTCTAACATATACCCAAAACATTACTAGTGTCATCTACATACGTACATCAATACATCCATATCATATGTTAATTAAAAAAATATTTGCTTTGATAAGTCAGACATGAATTAATATATTACAAAGGGACAAACTCAAACTTTCATGTACACAATCCCATATATTTTCAAACCGCTATTTGTACTAACTTAATTTTCTTTCTTTACAAGCGATTTTGTTTTCTTATTAAGATGTCACTACAAAGGTTGAAATAGTTCAATCTGTACAACGCATTCTGCACAGTATTCCAACTGTGCAAACAGTAAGAAAATATATGACAGCTGAATGGATGGAAAAGTTGTGCCACACACATATATATGGACAGCCTGAAGAAAAACAACAATTATGTTATATATAACACGCCAAATGGCTAACTTAACATGGTATCAAAAAGTAGTACCTAGTGCATAAAACTCCCACTTCACAGCAATTTCCAGTATAGATTTAACAGGTAGACAATTATTTTTTTTTCCTCCAGAGAGGCAGATTCCAGAAAGTAAAAGACCTTAGAGCATCTCCAATGCATTGCTAAAACAGTTGCCAAAGCCATAATATGGCAGCTTGAGCAAAAATGGCTTCTCCAATGGCATGCTATAGCAGCTGCCAAATCTGTTGCCAAATTTGGCACTAGCTTTGGCAGCTGCCAAATCTGCCAGGTCACCCAAACCAACTGCTTTCTTCCTTCCCTCCTTCCCTTTCAGTTGGACCAAACATGCCACATCAAAGATTAACAAAATTTTGGCTCCAAATTCACAAATTCATTTGATTTTGTTCTTTATCACAAATTCACAAATCTCACAACAAATTTTCACAATTGTCACAAATCTTAACAAATTACATAACAAAATGATCAGTGAACCAAATTTTCACAAATCTCATAACAAATTTTAGAACTAATTTAAGTGAATAACAAATTTGAAACAAATTTACCTGGATTCAAAGGGTTTAGGGCTTTTTTGTGCAGTGAAGAGGGTTTTGTGAAGTGCGAATAGATACATGGATGGAGATGGAGGTTCAGCGATCGCCACCGTCGGAAGCATCGACCTCAGCGGTGAAGGGAATCCGACAGCAGTGGTGGATCTAACAAACCCAACCCACAGCGGTGGTGGAGGGAAGCAACGATGGACCTTGCTCTGTTTCTCACTACTTCAAACCCAAACCCACTGGTACCCCTCTCTCTCTCTCTATATATATATTCATGTTTATATATGGATTGTATTTGTTGTAGGTATGGAGATGGAGGGTCTGAAAATGGAGGAAGCTTATAGAGAGAGACAGATGAAAATGGAAAGAGGGAGAGAGGCCTGAGTCGAAATGAGAGAGAGAGAGAGAGAGAGAGAGATGATGAAAGTGAAGATGGAATCAGTCTTGAAGATTCTAGAGGCTGAATCTCAGCCGTGGATTAGGAAATCATCCAACGGTTTGGATGGTGTCTTGAAATCATCCAACGGTTAGTATAATTTTGTAGTGGTATATTTTTTGGTAGGGTGAATTATATTTTTTTTTTTTTAATTTTTAATTTTTTTTTCTTATTTTTTATATTTGTCTAGTTGAGAATAATGTAAATATATATATTTTTTTTTAAACAGTTAAAAAAGGTCACAAAAGACAAAAAATAAATTTAAAAAATCACTAAAAACCCTACATCCAAACAACACTTACAAATTTGAAGGGAAAGTTGATTGAGATTTGCTAAAATAACATGTAAACCATTGGAGCACCATTACTATAATTTGGCAAAATAACACTATTCATTGCCAAATTATAGCAATGGCAATGCTATTTTAGCAAATACCATTGGAGATACTCTTATGTTTGAACCTCACTACCTACCTGATAATTGTAATACTAGCTAGCCTATCGATTGACTGTTGCAATCATCATAAGGGTAACAATGGTTGTGACACGGTTGCAGGGTGTAACAATATGTAGAGTAATAGTTGCGACAACAGGAGATATGAAATTTTTTCTTTTACACAAGTTCAAGAAAACTTAATGACACACATGTTTGCATATCATAATCACATTTACTGAGGTTTAATATCATTTTTGGTGGATTTTGTTTAATTTTTAAATATTATTTAATTTTTAAATATTATTTAATTTATGTACTATTTTTTATATTATTATTATTTTATTTTTTTGATTGGCACTAGGGTGTCTGGATCAAAGCCCAAAGGTTATATTATTTTTAAGTTGCTATGAAGCATGTTTAATAGAAAGTTCATAATTTATTAACATAAATTCATAATGCAAATATTTATCAAAATAATAATAATAATTCATAATGCAAATAAGCAAAGTGGTATTCCAACCTTTGCTCAACAAATTTAACCTAAAACAAACAAAATTCAAGCCAATAATCACAAATCTTCAAGAAATCAACTGCAAAAATAATAAAAATTTAAAATAAAAAACAAATCTAAGTTTATCTAACCTTGTTTTCAACTCAAATCATGTAAATCTTGAAGATTGGGGACTCAAACGATGTAGATTTAATATTTTTGATCCAAGTTTGTGTTTTTTTGTGAGATTTTAGTAGCTGAAAATCAAGAACAGGAAAAATGGCCTTTTATAATCATTTATGTTGAAAACTCAGTTAACCTTAAAGAGTGGTGGTAACCACTGATACCATTACACAATGATGTCATATAATGGTGGCAGTTGCTTTTTTAAACATGGGATTGACCACACGTGTGGGGTCGTATTAAGAATATAAATAATTAAGTTGAACGAACCAGTCTAATAGCTTAAAATTTTGGAACAATCCTTGATCTAAGATGTTATCCGAGCTCTAGGTACAGTAGATCTTGGGTTTAAGTCCCATGGTATATCTTTGTTCACCAGTTGTGTATGTGCACTATGTTCTATATGTGACTGTACACCGTGTTTGTACGCTAATTTGTTTGCCTCTATGTGAGATGAGGTCAATGTTGAGCCATTTCCTTGTAGTTTAAGCTTTTGAACAAGTTATGGTAACAGAGAAGGCAAAGAGAAGTGTTCAATCCTCCCCACCTAACTGCCAATTATAATATTTGTATATGTTTGGCTCACTTATGATGGGAAGCCTAGCCATGCGCGAGGGAGGGAACGTGCTAAGGATATAAATATTTTAAATATGCACCCTCTCTAGTGGATTAAACTTTACATGAGTTAATGATGGCATCATAGTTGGCAACTTGGCACTATGTTTCGGGTTTGAGTCACAAAATGGGTTACATAGGAGAGGACAACGTGCAGTAGAGTGAGATCTGTCATAAAAGAAGCAAAGGGCTATCTACAGTCAAAGGTAAGCTGCCTAAAGTGAAAGGCATTGCAAAAAGGGTTGCTTATGAGAGTGCTACCTAAAGAAGAGTCAAAGTCGTCTAAAGTGAAAAAGGGCTACTTGTGCAGATTGAAAGAAGCCTAGAGCGAGAGTCACCGAGGATGAAAACTATAGAAAACATGGTGGTATGTTATAGTCCTAAAGGATTATAGGACTTGATCTTATGCGTTCCATCAAACCTCAGTATTTTGGCATATAGGTCAGGTTCATAGCATTTGGTATCAAAGCAACCAAAGGTCATGTAATCAAATCTCACCACCCTATAATTACGGATAATACTTGTACATATTCGGCCTACTCATTTTGGGGACCTAGCCACACATGATGGGGCATGTTGAATCAAAATGATTATAACAGGTTAAACTATTTGATGAATTGGTTGTTAACAATCTAACAATGGTTGCCCCATAAAACTTTACCTTCAACTTAATAGGAACTTTAATCACTCAGCGATCCTTTTTTTTTTTTTTTTTTTGATAAATAAAGCAATTTATAGAAAGGCATCAAGATGATGCAACAAATACAAAAAGATATCCCAATTGGGGAAACCCCACCCAAGCACTACCCCATAATATCATCTAGAAAATCTAAAAAAACAAACAAATCTAGATCACCTCTTCTCTCCAACCAACTCTTCTCCCCAACCAACTATACATAACTACAAGAAGCCAATCCTCTAGCTATAGATAACTACAAGAAGCCAATTCTTTAACCAAAGAACACCATGATAAGCCTCTTGAAAAGTTCGTCTATTTCGCTCCAACCATACAAGCCACATCAAGCAAAACGGCGCCAACAGCCACACCCGCCGCCATCGACGTCCAATCCGAGCACCCTGCCAACCCAAAGCATATCTAACACCCTTTTTGGTTGAACCCAAACAACCCCAAAGAGTGAAAAAATAAAACCCCACAGCCGCGAGGCCACTAGACAATTCAAGAACAAATGATCCATCGATTCCGCATGAGCACAACACATACAACACCGATTCACTAATACATGCCCACGCCTTATCAAATATCCAATGTGAGATTCCCCCCTAAAGCAGCTGTCCACATAAAGAAAACCACCTTAGACGGGACACTCGGCACCCAAACACTCTTAAAGGAAACACCCTACCACACTCCCCCACCAAACCCCCATAGAATGAAGAAACTATGAACTGTTCCCTACCCCCCACCCCATTCCACACCATAACATCGGACCCCACCCCAGTAAGACCCAAACCATACAAGAAACCCCACAACTCCACCAACTAAACCACCTCCTAATCTTGCACCTACCATTGCAACTGAATATCCTAAACCACCACAACCCAAATAAGGTACCACAGTAGCCTCCCACTCAACCACAATGGCGAAGATCAACAGGAAACGGATCTCCAAGAAACCTTCCAACACCATCAATCCTTCCAAAACCTCACCCTCACTCCAACCCCCATCCTAAATCCTACCCACCTCCAAAACTCCACCCTCCCCAATCAAATCCCTTTCCACAGCCTACACCCATGGGAACTAGTCACATCC